TTATTTTTCAGAGTTCTTCCTTACCCTGCCTTTCATACAGAAAGCATGCCCTGAATGCATTGTCTGCAATTTCTAATTTCAGTTTCTGCACAGTGGAGTGAGAGCTTAAAGATCCTTGCAAGGAAATTTTAGTACAGAAACTTTTTGGATGTGATACTTTTCCCACAATCTTTTCAGCTGTCTTGCTTGTACCGAATCCAATAATCTAATTTTAGCATCTCTCCTTTATTAAATCTTTGTATAACTGTCAACTTGTTTCTTATAAAAATGATAACTCTTTTGCATTCACATTTCACCAGCTTATGTGACAATGTTAAAGTACTGCTAATATAAAAGATTCTTGAGAACAAACACATCTCCTTGTAGGCAACATTCATGTCAGCAGGTAGCCACCGTCATCTGTGGCATCCTGGAAGGCGTGGGTGTCCTTCCGGCCTGAGCATTCAGTGAGCCCAGGGTCATGTAACCTGCTGAGTCAGTACCTAGCAGCAGCACTCAAAATCCTCATGTGCTGTGAGTTGATGAGTGGGTAACTAGCCTGTCAGGATATACCCACTTCTCTGATTTTACTGTTATTCAATGATTAAAATATTTAGGATTGTGAGTGGGCATGGGCTGGGGGGCATGGAGGATGACATCCTTCTTTTTCAAATACATTGGCAAAGTTTGTGATGCATGGCATGGCTTGGGGAGGGCAGACCACATACTACAGTCCTGTCTTGGGGACAGCAAGGCAGTGCTGGGACAGGAGGGTGACCCAGATTCATATCGCCTACTCACTGCTAGGTGACTAAGGGCGTGTCATCTCAACTCAGTACTTCTGTTCTCTTGTCTTCAAAATGGGGTGACGCAATCTGATTCACCATAATGTTTTAAGACTCAAATGAGATAAATGTTTTTTTAAAGTATTTGCCGCAACGAAGGGCCATCAGAGTTACTTCCATATCTACACACCCTGTGTACACTTGTAGCAGTGGGATGGGGTGAGGGATCCCATCTCTACAACAAGCAGCAAGGTTTCTGGGACAGTCTACTCCTTGGAGGTAGGCAAGGGAGATCCGGGTACCACTTTCACTGGCAGCCCATTCCACGTCCTTGGGCACGTCACTTAATCTCACTGACCTTCAGCTGTTGTTACCCAGGAATAATAGCAGGAAAATTCCATCTAGCTTGAGCCTAATGGCTCAAGTGAGGATTAAATAGAGGTTATGGGAACTGAAGGTGTCTGGAACAGAGGAGAGGCGGAATACATTTTATCCTTGTAGGTATGACTCAGTCTGTAAACTAAGATCTGGAAAAAACAAGTGCCCCCTAATTTGTATGACTCAGCTTACTGCTGACTCTAAGTTCCCATTTCTCTTGGTTGATAAAGAATTGAAACCCCACCCTTTCTTGGGGAACCCGCTGACCTGGCATTGTGGACCATGACTTCACATTATGAAGCAGGGTGGGGATTCGCCCTTTATCTTCCTCTGCACAGCGTAAGGCAAGACGTGTTTTGCCTTGTCTTCCTCTCCTGTGTCTCTCTTGCTCCCAGGACATGTTCAAAGCACAAAATTACCTCCCCAGGTTGCAGTACAGAGCCAGGAAACAATTGAGTGCAAGAAAATAGGGAGGAGGAGAGCTTATGAACCAGAGATGCCCATCTAAAGCCCTGCCTTTTTTTTTTTTTTTTTTTTTTTAAGTTTAATACTATAAGGACCAAACACAACAGGCCTGTGGGCTGACTGGGCACATGGGCCTCTTCACTGCTCTGTGAACGTGCAGGGCCTGCTCTGGGAGTCCCCATCCTGGGATCCTATCTGTGACCCCTTGAGAGCTCTGCTGGAGGGTCTCTCAGTGAGGTCTTTCCTTTCCCCTTCCTACACTCCCCACCCGCTTCCCTGTTTTATTCTTCTCTATGGCTCTTAGCACTGTGGTTTCCTTTTTCACCCTGGTTAATGTCGATCTCTATCCACTAGAATGCAAGCCCCAAGTGGGCACTCAAGAACTATGTGTTGAATGAATGGGTGGATGGATGGATGATTTCATCATGGAATGAGACCCTCACCTCGGGCAGGTGGGCTTCAAAAACCTCAGTAATCAAGATCAATAATATTTTAATGCAATTTTTTTTAAATCACAGTACAAAAACTCTGCGAACAAACTATCAGATTTTTTAATAAAGGCATATCCAAAAGAAGTTGAAAGTGAGCTAATTTAAAATTATTTAAAATCATCATTTGTTCAAGAAAAAATTCCCAAATGTGGCAATGCTCTCAATTGAAAACAAGTTAAGAAAAGAAGTAGACTGAAATTGGTACTAATGAGTGTTCTTCCATCAAAGCTGGGAAAAATACCATTCTAATAAATTCTGGGGTTTTTTGTTTGGTAAAATAAAATATTTAAACAATATAAAGTTTTAATGCACCTACTTTTCAATTTTCCAACTTTTTCGATGTTGGAAATGTTTTCTCCTTAATGTTCTGGAGAAAAATTAACCAATTAAAATACATCGAGACCAGGTGTATGGCTCACACCTGTAATCTGAGGCACTTTGGGAGGCTGAGGCAGAAGTATCTCTTGGGCCCAGGAGTTCAAGACCAGCCTCGGCAACATAACAAGAACCTGTTTTTATATTTTTTTAAAGTTAAAAAAAAAAAAGAAAGAAAGATAGAAAATTTTAAAAAGGGAAATGCATCAAGACCTGTACCACAGAGGCTGACATTTTCCTTTTGCTCCAGGCTGCATGTGGGTTGCCAGGGCAATGGTTCTCAGCAGATGCATGCTGATGAAGTGGTATCGGGAGCCATCGCTCCCAAGCAGAACCCTGTCATGTTCACGGCCTGAACTGCTTTCATCTACAGGAGTGAGAGGGGAGGGATTTCTGGAGGCTGCTCAGGGAGACTGCCTGGATTGGGATGCTTTCCAGTCATCCCCAGATCAAGCCATGTGGGCCTATTCCAATAAGCATTAAGTTTTCCTTTGCATGGAAAAATCTTGAAAAAAAAAAAAAAAGGAACTGTTGAGATCAAGAAGAGGAAAGGCCTGGGGAGAAAGGAAGGCCTCAGTACCTTATTCTCCAGGCATTAGACGTCAACACAGGCAGCCTGGGCAATCCACACATTTGTTCACGCTGATTTCACTTCTGCCATTGTCCGCCACTCCCACTGTGACCCAGAGGTGCCCCCCAAACGGCCGGCGCCACAAGCCCTCACCAGGTGCTGGGTTGCAGCCAGGCTCCAGCTGACAGCCCAGAAGCCAGAGCCGTCTTCCTCAGGTGGATGCCCGCGTCTGACCCCACACTAGGGGTGGTGTTGGGAGGCAACCTTGTGTTGTGGAAAACACTGGAGTGGAGGAGACCAGGGTCTTGGGCTTCCTGCCACGAACTGCCTACAAGACCTTGATCCAATTACCTTCTCTCTCTCAGCCCAAGTCTTCTCGTCTGTCGGCTGACGCCCCTGAGGACCTGTGCAGAGTTTAGAGTCTAGAAGGCAGAGTTCAGCTTCATCTTTGACATCTTTGCTACATCCTCGATGTAAGTGGTTAAAAGCAAATGACCTCTTTAGAGAATACCTAAATTAAAGATAGACTCTTTCTTGGTGCAAACATAAAACAAAGACAAGACTTTCAGAGGGCTCCCAGCTAGATTGACTGCACACATTTATCTTCTGACATTCTAGCTTGGTGGTTAAGAGGGTCCTGGGGCCACACTGCCTGGGGTTGATTCCTGGCTCTGCCACTTACGACTAACCTGAGGCAACTCTCTGTCCGTTTCTTCATTTGCAAAACAAAGAACTGAGGGAACAGTGGTCAGGTGGCTTCCCCTAGGCCCTGAATACAAGAAACATGGGAAAGAAAACAGCTACCCCTTGAGAGGCTGTGGGAGGCAGCGTCCCCGGGGAAAGTTGGGTTTGGATTTGAACCATGAGGTGAAGGAAGCATCGCAGAGAGGACATCAGGGATGTGGCTGCTGAAGGATGGAGGCAGAAAGCAGGACATACAGAGCGACATGGGTCAGACGTCTCCATGGGAGTCCTGGGCTTGCTACAGGCCCTGGGATAAAGGGTTTGACAAGATGAGTCTACGACTGGATAGGAAGCCATGCCACCTGGAGGTGGGGGAGCTGGGGAGATGTGAGTCTTCCCGGAAACACTCGGGGCTCCTTTCTCACTCTCGCTGAGGCCCGTGGGAGCTCAGAGGCAGGCTGTTCTAGAGTGGACACGCGTAGCCCGAGGGCTTCTTGACAAGCCCATCTTGGAGTGAAGAAATACTGATTTCTTCCTTCAGGCTGGAGACTCTCAGGTAAGAGGAATTCCAGGGGCAATGTGGGCACAGGCTAAGGCAGGCGTCCCCAGACTTTTTACACAGGGGGCCAGTTCACTGTCCCTCAGACCGTTGGAGGGTCACCACATACTGTGCTCCTCTCACTGACCACCCATGAAAGAGGTGCCCCTTCCTGAAGTGCGGTGGGGGGGCCGGATAAATGGCCTCAGGGGGCCACATGCGGCCCGAGGGCCGTAGTTTGGGGACGCCTGCTAAGGCGTCTGTGCACTGACTCAGGTTTACACAGCTGCTGCCGGCAGCTGGGACCATCCACCTCTTCAGGAATGGCTGCCACTCATTTGTTATGACAACGGGTTTCCAGCTATTGTCTGCTGTTGACCTCCCAATATGACAGCTAAACAGTGAAACAAAGCAGGCTAAGTAATGGCAGGGAGAGAAGTCGCCCTGCCCCGCCTGGGTTATACAACTGCCTGGGTGTGGGGAGGGGGGTGCTGATCTGGCCTCTTCAAAAGAAGCGGAAGTAAAGACCCGTGTGTCCACCTGCCTATTACCTACCATGTGGAACCCAGCGAAGGACAGTCCATGGCTCATCAGCTCCCTCACTCCATGACCGATCCTACAATGAATTATTTTTCCTAAAGCAAAGGAGAAACAGAGTATAGATTCTAAAAAAGTATGTGACTCTTATTTTCTGTCCTAGGAAAACAATAGTAAAACCACCTAGGCACTTGGGTACATATTTACATTTATTTACAAAAGTTTCTATGTTAGCAGTAAAAACCATCTTTTGATAAAAAAGCGAGCACCAAGTCATATAATACGCTGATGAGAGTCACACTAATGCTTGTTCTTCGTTAGTGGGTATTTCTTCTTTAAAAAAAACAGCCGCTTCAAGAGTTCTTCGAACATTGTAATAGTCAAGTGAAAAATCCGATGGCTTTTTAGCTTTTAAAATAATTCAGTTATTATGCCATTGGCTTCATCTTCTGTTACCAATCAACTGGAGCTACAAAAAAAAAAAAAATTCATATTATAAAATGCAGTAAATCTGGGCTGCAGACCAGGAGTCCTAATTACCCTCTTATTCTAATGTGAATAGCCTTTTTTTTTGAGGCGGAGTTTCGCTCTTGTTACCCAGGCTGGAGTGCAATGGCACGATCTCGGCTCACCGTAACCTCCGCCTCCTGGGTTCAGGCAATTCTCCTGCCTCAGCCTCCTGAGTAGCTGGGATTACAGGCACGTGCCACCATGCCCAGCTAATTTTTTGTATTTTTAGTAGAGACGGGGTTTCACCATGTTGACCAGGATGGTCTCGATCTCTCGACCTCGTGATCCACCCGCCTTGGCCTCCCAAAGTGCTGAGATTACAGGCTTGAGCCACCGCGCCCAGCGTGAATAGCCTTTTTGTAATAAACTCATCAAAGCCAAGGGAGCTAGGGAGCAGGGATGGAGGGAGAGGGGTCTTGAGCACTCATGGGATACAGCCTGAGTCCCACCTGAAGAACAGCCTTGAGGATGCTGCGCTCAATAGCAGCCCCAAGGCTCCTCCCACCGACTCTTTGAGTAAAACCGAAACAACGGAGCGGACACTGTTAGACCCATAGGTAAACTGTCACCTATTCCTAACAGCCACTTCCTTCTTTGCTACATGAAACTCCTGGGGATGGTTTCCTTCCCACCTCAAACTTCTTTTCCTGTGTAGTCACCTCTGTGGCAGTGACAGAAAAATCTCTGGCTGTCTCAGAGTAAATCAGCCAAAAAACAAAACCACACCCTTGCTTGAGCAAGCCCTCAAACCGAGTTCATTTCCTGCCCTCCCGCCCTCCTGCTAGTCAGCGTATTTCCACGGAGTTCAAAGTCAGACCAGCCCAGAGCTCCCCACACATTCCATCTCATTAAGAATTCATGAGAAATTAGGGCTGTGGTTACAGAGGTGAGGGAAAGGAGAGTAAACTGAACGTTTCCCTCCTTGGGACCCTCAAAAAACATGAAATGGGTGCTGTGGCTTTCTGAGGGAGATTAAAAAAAAGTGAGAAATGTGTTTAAACCAGGTTGGCACACACAGGACCCTTGTAGGGGCAGCTTTCTGCTGGTCTCTGTTCCTCCGCCCTCTGCCTCACTCACCACAAGGCCCCAAGCCCACTTCTCCAGCTTGGCCCCCACCTGAGATCCCACCTGTAAATCTTTCTTCTCAGAGACATAGGACTCCCTGCTTCCTTTTTAATTTGGCTGACTTTGTAATCTGTTTTCTAGATAATGACACAAAAAAATACCTAGGCACTCCGAAATTGCCTACATTGAACTGCCTGGGTGAGAAGTGTGGCATGGTCACTGCCCGTCAGATGTCTGCCATCTACTCATCTGTCCTCTGCTGTTCCTGATTGGGTTTAGTTCTTCCTGGTTCTGCTCTCGTGCAGCTGGGGAAATACTGCATTTGTTCCTGGTTATGCCTGCCCCTTTCTCATCTCCTTCCCTGATCCCCATCTCCACCATACACAGAACCTTTTAACATTTTAATTCAACTTAATTTTTTTGATGCCCAGGCTGATCTCTAACTTCTGGGCTCAAGAAATCCTCCCACTAACTCCTGGGCTCAAGGGATCCTCCCACCTCAGCCTCCCAAGTAGTTGAGACTACTTGGTGTGTGCCACTACACCAGCGTCATAACCCTTTAGTAACAGCTTGGGCTATTCCCCTGGCTGCCACAATGGGTTCTTTAAATTTAAAAATGGGCTGGGTGCGGTGGCTCACGCCTGTAATCCCAGCACTTTGGGAGGCCGAGGCGGGTGGATCATGAGGTCGAGAGATCGAGACCATCCTGGTCAACATGGTGAAACCCCGTCTCTACTAAAAATACAAAAAATTAGCTGGGCATGGTGGCACATGCCTGTAATCCCAGCTACTCAGGAGGCTGAGACAAGAGAATTGCCTGAACCCAGGAAGCAGAGGTTGCGGTGAGCCGAGATCGCGCCATTGCACTCCAGCCTGGGTAACAAGAGCGAAACTCCGTCTCAAAATAAATAAATAAATAAATAAATAAAAATAAAAATGATTATTTACTAAGCAGTAAACACACGTGATGAAGAATTTGAATAGTAACATATACCAAGAAAAGTAAGCTCCTCTCCCACTCTCAGCCCCAAATACTCAGGTCTCTTCCCAGAATGTTACCTTAGGGAGAGGGTCAGTGTTCCCTTCCTAGACTCATCATTCCAAAGCAGTGCTTTTCATGCAAAACGTTCCTGTTCAAGAACCTACAATGGCTGCCATTTCCGTATCACTCCATTTTAATGACCCTGACTTCCAAGGACCTCCTTGCAAATATTCAGTGTCTTTTGCCACTACTTCAACTGCCAGGCAGATCAATCTCACGATCAAATCACAACAGATTTAATTCCCTCTCATATATTTGCCTCTGCTGTTTCTCCCACCTGGAATCCCTTTTCTACTCTACTCTTGTTCTGAAAATGTGGGTCACATCCTAACCCCTCCAAAGCTTCTCTGATGATTCTGGCCTCTGCAATTCCCCTGCACTGGTTGCTCAGCCCTGACCATCGTATCACACATTCTGCCTATCAGCTGTGCTTCCTCAGTCCTTCGAAGAGTTTCTCATGCTCACATGCATCCACTCTCACTCCCTGGTGTGGACACAAGCTTCCTGTGGGAGGAGCCCTATTATATGCTTTCTCTGAATCCCACACAATGTCTAGCCGCACGAGGTACTCTGACCCCACACCATCAGCCAGCACAGTGCCTGGCATCACATAATCTCCACAATGTTTGTTTGATGAAAGGAACAGATGAAGGAGTGAGTTCTGGAATGCCCATCCCCTTTCCCCATGGCCCTGGCTGATGCCCCCACCACTGATCCCCGTCATTGGTGGTGACGACGCCTCCCCCATCCACTCAGGCTTCCCCTCTACTGTAACCACCTAGATCTCAGCAGAGACCCGACTTGGCTTTTGCCCTCACCTGGTGTTCAAGCACGTTGCTCAGATCTGAAATGCCCTCCTCTGACCACAAGCCTGGAGGTCCCTACCTCTCCCACCTCACCTCATCTACAGCTACTTGGTTCCTCTCTGCCCAGCGTCCTGGACCATCAGCTCCTCAGGGCCTTGGGTCCTCCCAGCTTGGGCCTGTGGCCAGCTGAGCTGCCCTTTAGACTCCCTTGACCCCAGGCCTCCTGCCATAGCTGGTTTCCCCCAATAAACTAAGCATTGTTCCACATGGCACCTAAGAAGAAAGGACACCTCGTAGCCCATCCATCTGTCCCACCTCACCTCGGCCCTTGCTGCTGCTTAGCCATCCTCTCTTCATCCCTGCACTGACCACAGCAACTGACTCAACAAAACCAAAGGTCCTAACCCCTCACCCACTTCCTCGTGTCTGCAGCTTTAATAAGTAGTCTCCTCCCTCAGAGCCTCTAATCCGGGGCTCCCTTGGCTCTGATCCTAGACTTTGCTTCCCCAGTCCTGCCTCCTCTGCCTCTTCCTACCACCCTAGGGCATCTGGCTTTTCTTTCTTGGTGACCTCAGGTGCTCATGGCATCAATTACTGTCCAGATGAAGAGGCTCCCCAATCTGTAACTATAGCCTGCAGCTCACATCTCCAATTCTGTGCATGGACATCACTACCCAAGTAATACACCAGCACCCTAAACTCAACCTGTCAAAGCAAAAATTTGTAATTTTCCTTCCCAAGCAGGATTCCTGTGTGACTCCTCTGCTACACTTGGTCCCGTTGCTTTGATTTCTCTTGAGTGGTAATAGTAACAATAATCATAATGGCTAACATTTCTTGAACACTATTATAAGCCAGCCACTATTGTAAGTATTTTACTTATATTAATATATTTTGACACAGTTATTTCTATGTTATTATCTATGCTATCATTGCTATTTCTATATTATCATTATGCCCATTTCCCAAAGAAGACAACCAAGGCAATGAGAGTTTAAGTGACTTGTCCAAGGACTGCGAGACATGGAGCTGGCATTTGAACCAGGGAGTTTGGCACCAGAGCCTGCACTGCCAGAGGAAAGTTTTGCTAACAGGACCTCTGCCGTTTCTCCCAAACCCAGCCCTGTATATTACGTTCTGCCACCATCACCCTGACTCAGGCGCTCTTCTCTGCTTGGCTGGATTATCTCATTACTCCACCAACCAGTGTCCTTATCTCATCTATTAATTCGTCCTATGCTTCGCCAGCAGGGTGATCTTACTAAAGCGTAGTTCTGCTAGAAAACTCTGCGTTTCTCCCCAAGAATGACCCACAGCCTCTCTCAATGTCTCCGCTTGGCCCAACCTGACGGCCCAGCCCCATCTTTCTCTAAACTCTTAACACTTGCTGCTCCAAAGAGGATGGCTTGCCACCTCTCCTGCCCGTCACACCCTGGGCCTTAACTCTTCCCCTCATCCCTCAACACCCAGCTCGTTCCTTTGCCTGCTGACCACCAGTGGGATCTGCCAGAAGCGGGCCTCCTGGAGCATCCTATGGCAGTTTACCAAACCAACATTGCTGCTAAGTGCGTTTGTGTCTTCTTTTATTTGTGACTACAGGCCCAGCTCTGACCCTGGCTCCTGAAGTGAACTCAATATCTGATCCAACTTTTCTTGGGATGGGAGGTGGAGGGAGTGTACTATAGTGGTTAACAGTATAACTCTCAGAGTCCAAAGACCTAGATTTAAATCCCAGCCCACCACTTACTAGCAATGTGACCTTGATAAATCATTTGACTTCTATGAGTCTCGTGTGCACTGTCTCTAAGCAAGGGGTATGATACTCTTGCAGGGCTCATTGGGAGGGTTCCCGGAGACAATATATAGAGAGTGGCTAGTGTGGTCACAGCACACAGTTGGTACTTAATACACTATGATCAGTATATCTGCTGATGTTACTTCATATGACTGTACAAGGCAGCCAGCAGATGAGTAGACTCTGGCTTCCCAACTAACGGGCAGCTACAGCAGGGCTGCTCTTGTTCTGGCACACAGTGCACAGCCTGCAGGGTACTTACCTGTTTCTGTCTGTCTGTCTGCCACATTTCAAAATACCTGAAAATGAAGAAATTGTCCTTTCAGTTGAAGAACTGAAAAGGAAAGCTGAAATGTGGGGTTACTGACTGCCTATTAGAGGCCTAAATCTGGAAAACTAACCCAGGGCCCCGTCAGCCTGGGATTTCCTGCTATCCTATGTGTTTAAATCAAATTGGCTACAGAGCTGGTCCAAAGAGTTGTTCAAAAATCGGTCAGAACATGATAAGAAACCACATGCAAACACTGTTGACAAAATGGCTAATTTTTCCTTGTGCATGAGACTGAGGCTAGAATGGTTTGGACTAGTGCTGTCCAGTAGAAATATAATGCAAGCCACATCAGCAATTCAAAATGTTTGGTAACCACATTACAACGTTACAAAAAAAAGGTATATTTTAATATTTTATTTAGCATAAGGTGTCAAAAGCATAAAATTATTTCAATTATGTACTCAATATAAACATCTTCGAATGAAATATTTTACATTCTCCCACACATGGTCTTAGAAACATACTGCTTTACACTCACAGCACATCATAATTTGGACTCCCACATTTCAAGTGCTCCACAGCCACATGCAGCTCATGGCTACTCTTTTAGATATTAGGACAGTGCTCCCACACAGGCATGCATCGGTTTCCTGCCCACAGGGCATCCACGTACCCCACACCTATGCTAGGGGTGCAGAAGCCTAGTCAATAGAGTTGACTAGAGCTTATAAAACTGTCTGTCATCTACAGCTAGGCAGCTGGAGCTGTTTCAACCCTTTTTTCTGAAGGTTCCATGCCAAACATCTCACTATTTCCCAAATAAAGACTTTAAGGTTGCTTGAAGGTTGAGATACTTGCTGAGAAGTTTCGTTTTTGTGTTTTGAAACAGGGTCTGACTTCATCACCCAGGCTGGAGTGCTGTGGCACAATCTCAGCTCATTGCAACCTCCACCTCCCTCCCGCCTTAGCCTCCTGAGTAGCTGGGACTATAGGCGTGCACCACCAGGCCTGGCTAAATTTTGTATTTTTTTTTTTTTTATAAAGATGGGGTTTCACCATGTTGTCCAGGCAGGTTTCAAACTTCTAGGCTCAAGTGATGCACCCACATAAACCTCTCAACGTGCTGGGATTACAGGCATGAGCCACCATGCCAGGCCTCCAAATTGTTTTTTTAGAATAATTTTTTTTTTTCAGATTATCTAGGGCTAACAGTACCGACTATTAGAGTAATTTTCTGTATATTGAATGATCCTTTTTTTTTTTTTTTAAGTTAATCAACCAATTGTTTTGAAGTTCTATGTAAACTCAGTGCCACTTCTCCTTAGTTCAGGCACCCTGGGTTAGTTCTTTTTTTTTCTTTTTTCTTTTTTCTTTTTTTTTTGAGACAGAGTTTCACTCTTGTTACCCAGGCTGGAGTACAATGGCGTGATCTCGGCTCACCGCAACCTCTGCCTCCTGGGTTCAGGCAATTCTCCTGTCTCAGCCTCCTAAGTAGCTGGGATTACAGGCACATGCCACCATGCCCAGCTAATTTTTGTATTTCTAGTAGAGACGGGGTTTCACCATGTTGACCAGGATGGTCTCGATCTCTTGACCTCGTGATCCACCCGCCTCGGCCTCCCAAAGTGCTGGGATTACAGGTGTAAGCCACCGTGCCTGGCTGGGTTAGTTCTTTAACTGAGATTTACAACAATGCTGAGTGGAAAATGATTTTGGTTTCTGAGAACCAACCCGCTCAGGAGATGACTAACTATAATACTGCTATTTGGGGATTAAAATGCATTTTTTTTTTTAAATTTGAGCTCCCAAAATATTTTATGCATTGGTAGTAACTGAAAACTTTCTTCAGCTGATATATTGTTTAGTGGAGAGTCAACTGACTGATAATCTACTATTTAGGGATGGATTTTCATGGTATTTACAACTTATAATATGAAAATGTTATCCTCAGGAAATTATATTTAGCACCAATATCCCAAAATAGTTTAGGTCTGCACTGACCAAGAAAATTTTCTGCAGTGATAAGATTATTCCTTATCTGGGCTATCCAGTATGGCAGCCACTAGCCAGATGTAGGTACTGAGCACCTAAAATGTGGTTAGTAAAACTGAGGAATGAATCTTAAATTTAGCATTATTTCATCTTAAAATTTTATATTTAAATAATCATATGTGGCTAACTGGCTACTATTCTAAACAGTGCAGGTCTAGGGAAACTGAAATCTAGTTTACAAACCTGGTTCAAGACACAATGGATCCTAGATGCTATCACTTGTAGAAAGTTTTCTCTTTGGCATTCCCTGTGGGACTGACAAGTTAGCCTGGCATATTTCCTTTTGGGTGAAGGCTGATATGGAAACTGCTGTGGCATGAAGAATATCTGCTCTTCAGATTTACAGCCTGGTCCCTGTCCTTTGGGATTTAAGAGGCATTACTCATCACCAGAAATGAATAAGCTGGGAATAGGTTATCAATTCTCCAAGCTCTATAACTGGCCCAAGATTGCTGGGGGACTGAGAAAGGCTCAGGAAGTAATACAAGCATAATTACTTGTATTACATAAGTCACTACACTCAACCAAAACTCCTTTCCTACCTGGAAGGCCCATCCATGCTATATGACATGAAAATTATAAAGGTGGCAACCTAAAGAGGTCTTTAGCAAACTCTGACTTGGAGACCAGAAGTTTGACTATATTTTAAAGCATATCACAGATAAAAGGAGGCTATGCAACAGGTCCAAGATGTGTTCCCAGGCCTTGTAAAGCTCTCTGTGGCCCAAGGATTCATTCTATCTTAAGATAACACAGAATCTTTGGAGGAGCCTAGCGTACTCAGCGATCCCACACACAAATAAAGCAAAAAAGTTTTTGTTTCTTTTCAAATGTCTAAAATTTCAAACTTTGTTTTCATCCTTAAAGTATTCTCTGGCCTTTGAAAAACAAATGCACGTTTAAAAACGATTTTGTTTTAAAAAGCATACATACCTCTCATATACAGCATAGTACATGTTGTAATTATAATTGCTCCTAATAGTGATAGTATAAACATATATCTGTTCCTTGAATGACCTGTAAAAAACAAAAAACAAAAAACAAAAAAACTCACTCAACTAATTGAACTAATCAAAATAGATCCTCCTTATTTGCAGATTCCACCTTACAATTTGCTTATTTTGTTGAAATTTATTTGTAATCCACGAATCATTATCCACAGTAGTCATTCTCAGACATAAGAACAGTGATGAAAACTTTGAGTCACCCAATAAGCAGATTCCTAGCAGAGGTGGGAAAAGGTGAAGCTCTTCCTTCTTGTTTCAGCTCTTACACTGTTAACAACTGTCCTATTTGCAGTCTATTTAGTGGAATAATTTTGCATTTTTATGCTTTTTTATTGGTGATTTTACTATTTTGAATGGTCCCAAAGTATGGCGTAGATGTACTGACAGGAGCTCCTAAGTGCAAGGCTGCAATGTGCCTTGCAGATAAAATAGGTGTATTAGATAAGCTTCACTTAGGCATGAGTTATAGTGCTGCTGGCTATGAGTTCAACGTTAATAAATCAACACTATATATTAAGGTTTATTTAAACAGAAGTATACATAAAACAGATCATTAACAAAAATGTTGTGACTAGAGGCTCACAGGAACCCACCCCTGTATTTTTCCCCCCAGGAACATTAGTTCAGTACTTGTTATTTCAGTGTTTAATTTGACTCTGTAGCAAACTACTATGAATAACAAGATTCGACTATTTCTAAATGAACTTATATGCAGAAGTGTGGTACATTCCAGTGTTATTTATTATTTATTATTATTTTATTTTACTTTTTTTTTTTTTGAGACAGTCTCTTTCTGTTGCTGAGGCTGGAGCGCAGTGGCATGATCTTGGCTCACTGCAACTTTCGCCTCCTGAGTTCAAGCAATTCTCCTGCCTCAGCCTCCTGAGTAGCTGGGATTACAGGCGCCCACCACCATGCCTGGCTAATTTTTGTATTTTTAGTAGAGATGGGGTTTCACCACATTGGCCAGGCTTGTCTGGAACTCTGGACCTCAAATGATCCACCTGTCTCAGCCTCCAAAGTGCTGGAATTACAGGTGTGAGCCACCGTGCCCAGCCTTTTTTAATAAAAGAAGCAAATATTCCACTAGAAGGTTTGTTTCTAACCATCTCATACTGCCAGTGGAAGCAGAACTTGGCGTCATGTTTGGTAGGGCAATTCTGGCAGTATACAACAAGCCTTAAAAATATTTATTGGCCGGGTGTGGTGGCTCACACCTATAATCCCAGCACTTTGGGAGGCCAAGGCGGGTGGACCACAAGGTCAAGCGATTAAGACCATTTTGGCCAACATGGTGAAACCCCATCTCTACCAAAAATAAAAAAATTAGCTGGGCATGGTGGCGGGTGCCTGTAGTCCCAGCTACTCGGGAGGCTGAGGCAGGAGAATTGCTTGAACCCGGGAGGGGGAGGTTGCAGTGAGCTGAGATCATGTCATTGCACTCCAGCCTGGCACCTGGTGACAGAGTGAGACTCTGTCTCAAAAAAAAAAAAAAAAACACGAAAATTATCATGAAGCATCTAGGCCTTATACTAAGTCATGTGCCTACGGTCTCACTAAGTTATTACAATGTTGGGCAAGTGCCTTAACCTCTCAGTGCCTCCATTTTCTCATGCACTGTTCTTAAGTGCAGGTATCCTATGAGTTAAGTATATTTATATGCATGGGATAACTATATGTGGGACAAATAAATATACTTATCTCATGGGGTAGCTGCACTTAAGAACAGCTGTTACATACTGTCATTAACCTATTAAGTAGATGTCATTGGTATTTCTATTAATGTCTTGTGACTCTGCAATTCCATTTCTAAGATGTTATCCTGGGGAAACTATCAATGATGCATCCTTCTTCTCCCCGCAAAAAGTCACAAAGACATTTACTGCAGCCTTACTTAATACACTATAAGGCAAAAACAACCTGAGTGTCTTCAACAAAAAACTGTGGTATGTTCACAAGGTAAACTCTATCCAGCTATTGAAAATCCAAAATCAGAGTACACAATACACTAAGAGCAATATGACATGGATATGGGAAAGGAAGGGACAGGAGGAGAAAGAGAAAATGAATGAATAAATGAGAGTAAGAATAAGATCACTTACTTTCCTTTTATTAGGAACACAGGTGTGCTAGAACAAATAGGCAGTCACCTACTGGTCAGATTTGAGAAGACCCTGGCCAGAAACTGCTAGGTACCCCCAAACATCATTTTCCCTTCTTTAGTAGCAGAATTCAGATTTCTTTGGCAATAATACTCACTAAGTAGTGTTGCATACTTCCCTCAGGTGGTGTATGATGCCTGCTTGCTTTTCTTTCCACGATGTCAATGTCATTGAAGATCATTGTCTAGAGCCATAATTTCATCAAGGGTTTGCAAAGTGGTTTAATCTATCATTCCTTCTTTACTAACTACAATCTTCACGTAAAGATAAATTGCCCCTCATCAACAATATGGTTACTCTGAGGTTCCGTTTTTATAGGAAAAGCAGTGTTTGATTCTCTTTCTTTACCGTTTTCAAGATAATGAGTTGGCTCCCAAGCATTCTCTAGACATAACCAATGAGTTTTTAAATTTGTTTTTAGTACTATTATGAACTCATGAACTAAGCACAATTGATGTGTTTCAATCTACTGAAGTTGTTATTCTTATTGATGCTCCAATTGCCTCATTTTTGGCCTGTGGGAACCTCTTCAGAGTAGCTCCTGAGTCCTGCTATAACATCATAGTAAGTCTTTTTGATAGATTTCTTGTTATGCAGTAAAATAAGATATTCAAGCCTCATTATAATGCATTCCATGCTCCAGATATGGAATCAGCCAACTGTTCCAAAGGCTCTGGTTCATTTTCATGGGAAATGGTAATTAGATACCATAATCTGGGTTAAGGTGGCCAATCATCCTGGTTTTCCTCAAACTGAGGAGTTTCCTGGGATGTGAAATTTGGGTGCTGAAACTGGAAAGGTTAGGCACACCAGGAAACACTGGTCACTCAGATCTGGTTCCAAGAACCAAGAAGCATGCAAATTGCTGTGGGATTGGCTCCTGTTTCTGGAACATTTCAATGGACAGACCAGGAAATACATGATTTTTTAAGAGACAAAATATATTAATGGGTCATGCTGACATTATGATGAACCCTATTCAGTTGCTAGGATTCAATGATTTTTGGCTAGAGAAATGGCAATTTCATATGGTTTAAATTAATACCTTTAACTAAATCTAGGGCTACAGTTTTTTACTTAACGTAATCAACTTACAGCTGAATTTACTTTCTTTCATGCCAAACATCCCAACATTCAATAACAACAATATAAATATTTGTTTGCTTTTTCCTGCAATACATATTCACACAGTAACCAAATACCAACATTACCACCAACTATATAATTACTTAAAACAGATTACAATATTTTTCTTTGTAGTTCTTTTTATCCTTAGAATGCAGCCCCTTGAAATATGCCACCCAAATTATTATGTTTTTAAAACACTTGGAATGGTTCCTCTATTTGGGGTTATTCTATCAACTTGATTCATGGCTTAGTACATTAGCTTTATTTGGCTTTATGTATTTTTGAGTTTTTGATTACAACAAAACAGAGCAGAAGCTACAGAAACTTTGCACATACACTCTGCCCCTACACATGCAGAGCTTCCCCATTATCAACATCCTTCACCAGAGGGTACATTTTTTAGAATTAATGAAATCACACTGACACATCTTATCACTAAAAAGTCCATACTTTACATTAGAACTCAGTTGTGTATTCTGTGGGTTTGGACAAATGTATAATGACATCATTACAGTATACAGAGAGTATTTTCACTGTTCCCAGACTCCTCTGTGTTCCACCTATTCATATCCCCTGCCAACCACAGCTTTTTACAGTCTCCATAGTTTTGCCTTTTCCAGAATGTCATATAGGTAGAATCACATAGCATGTAGCCTGTTCAGATTGGATTCTTTAACTCAGTAATATGCATGTAAATTTCCTCCATGTCTTGCCATGGTTTGATAGTTTCTAGTGCTGAATAATATTCTATTGTCTGCATGTACCACAATTTATTATTCACTTACTTAAGGACATCTTGGTTGCTTCCAAGTTTTGGCAATTACTAATAAAGATGCTATAAACAGCATGTGCAGGTTTTTATGTCAACATAAGTTTTCAATGCTTTTGAGTAAATACCGAGAAGCACGACTGATGCATTGAATGGTAAGAGTATGTACGCTTTTGTAAGAAATTGCCAAACTGTCTTCCAAAGTGGCTGCACCATTCTGCATTTCCACCTGCAATGAATGAAAGTTGTTCCACATCCTCACCAGCATTTGGTGCTATCAGTGTTCCAGATTTGGCCAGTGTGATAGGTGTGAAGTGGTATTTCATTGTTGTTTTTGTTTGCATTTCCCTGATGATATAGGACATGGAGCATCTTTTTTTTTTTTTTTTCAAGACAGAGTCTCTCTCCACCACCCAGGCTGGAGTGCAGTGGTGTGATACTGGCTCACTGCAACTTTCACCTCCTGGGTCCATGCGATTCTCCTGACTCAGACTCTCAAGTAGCTGGGATTACAGGCATGCACCACCACGCCCAGCTGATTTTTGTATTTTTAATAGAGACAGGGTTTTCCCATTTGGCCAGGCTGCTCTTGAACTCCTGACCTCAGGTGATCCACCTGCCTCGGCCTCCCAAAGTGCTGGGATTACAGGTGTGAGCCACCACACCTGGCCAGGGAGCATCTTTTTATATCCCTATTGGCCATCTGTACATCCTCTTTGGAGAGGTGTCTGATGAGATCTTTGACTCATTTTTAAAATTGGGTTGTTTGTGTTTTTCTTGTTGAGTTTTAAGAAGTTTTTCTGTATATTTTGGATAACAATCCTTTATCAGATATGTCTTTTGCAAGTATTTTCTCCCATACTGTGGCTTGGCTTCTCATTCTCTTGAAATTGTCTTTCACTCAACAATGTTTCTAATTTTAATGAAGTACAGCTTATTAATTCTTTCATG